ATGGGAGATTTGCGTGTGCTTGTTGCAGAGAATAAAAACAAGGTAAAGCTTGATCACACCTAAATAAAAATATTGAGAAAATTGATTTGGGGCTTTCAAATGTGCATAGTTCATGGTTGACGTTTTCATGTTGTGAATTTTTCTGGAGTGGTGGCTAAAACTGAAGTTTTACTAAACCACCAAAAAAAAAAAAAAAATGTTTGTCTTTATGGAGATAGTCGTGATCTGTGAGTGAGAAATTGCCGTTCATTGGAGGTATGCATAATAAATGGTGATCATTAAAAAGTCATACAAATAATTCGTTGAGGGTGTAGAATACCAACTTTCGCTACAGAGTCCCTCTTCTCCCCTCTGTTGCTCCATCATATATTAAATTTACGTTAATAATAAGAGCTATACAGAAAAGAATAGCATTTTTTTTTGTCTAAGAAAATCTGGTTTTCATGTATAAAATTTACCTCAGGTAAAGAAGATTGTGCAAGGGCAGTTTGATTTTTTCCGCTCAATTTGTAAGCCATTTCTTCAAGAATATTTGGCCAAAGACTTCTTGAGAGTCACATCATCTGGAAGTCACCAAGCAATATATCACAGGTTTGTAAAATTCGACCTTTTAGTACCCAAATACTTGATTATATATGGCCTCATACCAAATATGACTTATTATGTAAAATTTAGGCTAACTTCTATTTACTAGTTACTTATAATCAATTCTTGAGAAGGGTTCTGTTATGGATCTAACTTGGTTTTTAATTTTTGGATTTATGATTTCTCCATTGTCGGTTCAATGTTCCGTTGTTTATACACAATATAATTGTTCTGGTGAAAGTAAATTCTTTTTCATGAAAAAGTTCTAAAAATTGTTTTATTAAGGAAACTGTTGTTTGAACAGCTTTGTTCTTGTCATCTATGCTCTGAAGCGCTGAGTTCTTACATGTTTCTGTCGCTTGAATCAGGCTGTGGCTTGCTGTCACTAGGCCACCAGAAATTAGAAGTCAAATGGGCATGAAGCTTGGAGAGAAGAAGATATAAATGAATATGGTATGAACTTTCGCTGGTATGCACAGACTATACGAAAAATTATTTCTGAGGATAAATGAATGATTACGTAATATACCTTTTGCCGATCGAGGTATAAATGAAGTATAGTTGGTTCAAGAGAAGAGGCCGCTAATGCATGCAGACTGATTTCAAGTGCAAGACAAGCAGTTCTGGTCTACTTGCTAGGTGGTATCAAAGATACTAGATATCTTGCTAAAAAAATGCAGAAAGCTTGAAGTCTTGGACATAATTTTTCCCATTTTTCTTTCTCAAAATCAATATGAGATCTGATAAATGAGGAGTGAGCTGATGTTTTGTCTCTTGATAATCTTTACCACAAGTTGTAACTGTAAGTTATAAATTTTGCAGATCAAGTCTTATGGTTTCAATCATAATTGGTTTTTGATTGGTGAGGTAATTCTGGGATCAAACAAGCTAGTCTCTTTGTAATGCACCAAAAATTTAATCCTATTTCATTCAATAATAACGAATGAGCCCAACCAATAGATGTCCAAGAAATAAATTCAGCTTGCTATATTCACGGATAGGAGTTGCAATCTAACTAAAAAGAGCTGCATTCTGGAATACCAAATGGATGAACAATAGAAACAAACTTATTGGGAAACATTCAAAACATTATTCAGTAGAAACATGATTGACATCAATCAAGTTAAAAAAAAGCAGGAATCGGAATTGAAACCTTTTTCGCTTGTTGACGACTTGACAAATCTCTAAGAAATCTGCAACAGTTGAACAACACAAAGTTACACATCGAACCTCACACAACAAAACATGAATCCAAAAAATTATTAAAATATACTATGGTTGTAGTGTATACCAATATACGGCTATGGTTTAATTAATTTTATCCTTGGTGGTAAAGTTACGTACTATTAGTAAAACCTATGACTAAGAAAATTTTTAACTTAAATTTTGCATAGAAGGCAGTATGAAGTTAGAAATAAATTAATTCTCTCAAAGCAATTACCGTATTGAAGGGTATTTAAACAATTTACCAGACTTATATCGAAGGTAATGAGAGAGACTTTTACACATACCTGATCATTCATTATTCCAGTCTGTCATTTGAAAAAGCTTTCACTCAGGGTGGGACATTTGTATCATCAATTCACTAAGGTTGAAGAGGTTCAGTATCCCATCTGGCAGAGATGACAGTCCTGGCAGCTTACAATCTCAAGTTTTTGAAGCGCTGTGAGATTTCCAATCCATGCTGGTAACTCTGTGAGCTTAGGACATGAGTCAATCCGCAGATACTCTAAAATGTTAGCAGATCCTTCAAGAATCTTTGGGTTAGCCTTCTAAATCATAAATGAATATGGTATGAACTTCAGCTGGTATGCACAGACTAATAGGAAATATTATTTTCTGAGGCAGTGTACAAATTAAAACTTATTCTGCATCCAATTTGCCTTAAGAGAACATGTGATCGAAAATTTTTCATTAGACCTTCTATACTTAATCCTGGATACTTGAATGATTACATGACATAACATTTTGCTGGTCGAGCTATAAATGAAGTTATAATTGGTTCGAGAGAAGAGGCAGCTAAATGCATGCGGAAGGTTCTGCGACGAACCGTAATGGTTTCAAGTGCAAGACAGGCAGTGTATAGTCTACTTGCCGTTGGTGGCATCAATGCTACTAGATATCTTGCTAACAAAATGCGGAAAGCTTGGAAATCCTGGACATAAAACTTGCCATTTATCTTTCTCAATTTTCATGAGATTTGGTCAGGTAGATTATACCTTTCAAAATGAGAATGCGTTATCTTTACGACAAGCTGCCCTGCCTTGACTGTAAGTTATGAATTTTGCAGATCAACTAGTTTTATACTTCCATTTCATAGTTGGTTTGTTTGTTGAGGTAATTTTGGGTGCAAGCAGGCCACTCCCTTTGTAATGAACAATATCATATTTATTCTATGACCTTGTTTTAAAAATAAATTTAAAAAAAAAAAAAAAAAAAAAAAAAGACCATTTGAGGTACATTTTAGTTTGAGAATATTCATAGTCTTTGAATGGGAACAAAAACAGCCAAACAAACAGTAGCATTATCCAGTACAAACATTATTAACATGAATCCAGTCATAACACAGGGAGAAGTATATCTTCGCTTGAGGTTTCATGAAATTATTTAACACACCCATGAGTTTCAGAAAATAACAAATACTCCCAACATAACAATCCGTGACATTAATAAAAAGAAAAAACATCACAATAAGCAGGAATCGGAATTGAAACTTCTTGCACTCGCTCAAGACTTTTGACAAAGTCTCCATAATGCTGCCAAAAAAAAAAAGTACGAGTTACCCAATAAGTAAAAAGACAGAAAAAGTTTAACTACTCTTTCTGTTTCAGGGTTTAGGGGCCGGAAAAATTTAAAAATAAAAAAATAAATAAAAAGAAAAAGAAAAGAGATTCCAGTTATGTGGTGGGTTGCATGGGTTCCCTCACTTCCAAAGTCCCAATCTTTCTCTGCAACTCCCTCACTTTCTTCTCACTCTTTGACCCATCAATTCCTCTCTCTCTAATTCCTCCAATTTCGCTCCTTTCTCTCCCAAACTATTTTTCAACTCTGCCACCTCACCACTCTCTTTATCCCTTTTGCTCATAGTTGGGGTTAGCTCAGGTTGGTGTAAGGATCTTAAAGTCCCACATCATTAAGGAATCACTTGCCATGTGGGTTGATAATAATTCAAGTCAATTTTAAGGGTGAATTTTCTCCTATTAACAACCACAAACTTTAAAATTCGCCTTTAAAGCCTCCTTATAAAGGAAGGGTGTCTAAATAGTTATTTTTTTCTCCTATATTTTTTTTACCGAATGAGACCTCATTTATTTCGTTAAAACCTCGGAAATGATCCACATTTTTCGTATCAATCAAGCTATAAAACAGAGAAATAACACCTTTCCCCTTAAGGTTGTATAAAAGTAACACTCACACACATAAATTTTGCACAATAAGGTTGAGTTCTACCCGTTTAACAACCACAAACTTTAAAATTCACCTTTGAAACTTTCTTATAAGGGAAGGGCGTCCAAATAGTTATTAACCCACATGCTATATTTTTTAACCAAACGAGTTCTCATTTATTTTGTTAAAACCTCAGAAATGACCCACATTATTCGTATCAATCAAGCTAGAAAATAAGGAAATAACACATTTCCCCTTAAGGTTGTGTGAAAGTAAGATTCACACGTATAGATTTTGCACAATAAGGGTGAGTTTTACCCAATTAACAACCACAAACTTTATAATTCACCTTTAAAACCTCCTTATAAAGGAAGGCTGTCCAAATAGTTATTAACCCATATGCTATATTTTTTAACCAAGCGAGAGCTAATTTATTTGGTTAAAACCTCGGAAATGATCCAAATTATTTGTATCAATCAAGTTATAAAACAGGGAAATAACACATTTCCCTTTGGGTTGCTTACGGTTAGGGCCCTAAGAAGGTTACTCTTGATAATCTTATATTTTAATTCGGTCATTATTTTGTTTGATTCAGCAAGTAATATAAGATTCATGTAATCTTTTATTACTCAAGTAATATGATAGATGATATGTGATTACCGACTCAGAGGGTATTTTAAGTTTACCCTAGTAATCCTAAATTTTTTTCTAATTTGACCCTTAGTAAAAATTATAGACACAAGCCCTTCTTTTGATGTCAAATAATAATTAACTCAACTTGTTGAATGATTTCTTTAATCTCATTAATTAATTATTTGAACCAAAAATGCCCTATATAATAATAATAATATATTATTATTATATCTTTTTGGTAATAAAATATTTTTGGAATCAAACCCCCCTTCCGGTTGTATGAAAGTAATATTCAAACGCATATATTCTGGACAATGATAAATACAGGGGAATAGCAATTCAAGAACACAGATAAAAAGCATCACAATCAGTAGGAAATGGAATTCAAACCTCTTTCACTTGCTGGAGGCATATGATACAATCTCTGAGACAGCTTTAACAACTGAACAACACAAATCGTACAATAAGTCAGAAAGATATTTACACTACTAAAATAAAAAGGATATAATAAACACAAAAAAGAAGGTTCTGCAATAAATAATTCCAGTCATTTGGTGGGTTGGCTCACATTATTACATTTTTTTTTTCTTTAAAAGAAACTATTTAACTATATTTAAGAGAGATTCATCTTCGCCGTTGTTTCGCAGATTTACCAAGTACTTACCTAAATCAAAATCATAGAGTTGTAATCTCTTATCACTAATATCAATAGAAATAACTAATTAATTTCTTCTCACTCACTGCGATAATCAAATACCGACCGAACTAGAGCATTTAAACAATTTACTGGCTTATGACAATAAAAATCGGGAGAGTGATTTTAACATAACATACCTGATCCTTTTATATTTCCCGATTCTGAAGCAACTGCAGGATCAAGATGAATCTCTGGGACATGAGAAATATTCGACCAGTTCTGTCTGCAGCTTTCACTCAGCTCAGGACACTTCTGTATCTTCAATTTTTTAAGGTTGGTGAGGTTCTGCATCCTGTCTGGCAAAGATGACAATCCTGGGCAACTTAAAATCTCAAGTTCTTGAAGTGATGTGAGATTTGAAAGCGAGGCTGGTAGTGCTGTGAGATTGGTACATGCTTCAATCCGTATGTACTGTAAAGTACTGTCAGCATCTTCAGGAAAATTCCTCTCCAGATTAAGCTTTGGACAACTGCAAATCACCATTTTCTTCAATTTGGTTAACCGTGCTATATTGCGTGGCAAACTTTCTAGATTGTCGCAATTAAGTATCAGCAGAGATCGGAGAGAAGTCAAACATTCAATTCCATTTCGTGGTAGACGCTTCTGTATTGTAGTCAAATCCAAATATCTGAGGCTGATCAGGTTTGGCAGATTATTAGGTAACAGTTGAAGATTTGAACAACGTTCAAGTCTTAAGGTCTGTAAACTTTGAAGTTTACAAATAGAATTCGGGAGTTCCTTTAAGATTGAATTCCGAGATAAGTCAAGATATCTCAAATGTTTCAATGCACCGACAGAGTTCGGCAACCCTTTAACTTGTAAACCACTTAAGCATAATAACCTGAGGTACTTATACTTGGTTGTCCATGTATTTATGAAGGACTCCGTAACACGCTCAGTTTTGAGACTTTGCATGATGATGGTCAGCAATTTGCTCAAAATAAATGGAACTTCTCCGTTATAATTTTCAAAGCCAAGAATTGACAAATGGCGAGCACTTATCTGAGTAGGGCGGATTCTGAGATCTACCGTTTTGCAGTCTTTTTGTGCCATTTTCACAACAAGATCATGTATAAGATCATGCATTTTAAATGTGAAAAAATAACCATGATCTTCAACATCTTGAAAGAAACACTTCGAAATTAATTCCTTCAAATATCGCAATCCAACATCTTCCAACTCCTCATCTTCATTATTAGTTGCAAGAAAACCATGAGCCATCCAATAATGGATCAAATAATTACTGTTAAAACAATAATCCTTAGGAAACAGAGAGCAATATGCCAAACATCGTCGCAAATGAGATGGTAAATGAGCATAACTCAATTTCAATGCTGGTATGATGCCATCTTCCTCTTGTTTTAGTTCCCACATATCACTGTCTCTAATTGCCAACCAATCAAGTGTATCTTTGTTTCCATAAAGTAGGGTTCCTAAAGTTGTCACTGCTAAAGGAATTCCACTACATTTTCTCGCAATTTCTCTCCCAAAGTTACAAAGGTCTTCATGTCTTTCGAATTCTCCCTCTTGAGACGCCCATTTTGCAAACAATTTCATCGATTCCTCCTCAGAAAGGCCTTCTAAAACATAACTAGAAACGGTGCCCATCATTTTTGCAACTCGGTTACTACGCGTAGTAACTAACATTTTACTCCCATTACGGGCTTCCAGCGTCAATATATGTTTGAATATTTCCCATTTACCATAGTTTTCATTCCACACGTCATCCAAGACCAGAAAAAATTTCTTACCAACCAATGCTCGTAGCAAGAGGTCTTCTAACTTATCGACTGCAAATTCAACTTGACTTTCACCAGTTGCAGAAGAATAAGTTTCTTTCATCAATGTAATTATATCAAAATCCTCCGGTACATGTACCCACATTTTTAGATCAAAGTGTTCATCTATCATTTTTTCATTATACACCAGTTTGGCTAGAGTAGTTTTTCCAGTACCTCCCATTCCGACTATAGAAATTATAGAGACCTTTTTATGATCTTCCTCGTTTGGTTTCATCAAAATGTCGATAATATTTTCCTTAGCAACGTCTCTCCCAAAAACTTCGGAAGGATTGACAAAGGTGTAGTTCATCACCAAGTCCCCTGAGTAAACACGTCTAAACTCACCCTTATTCTGATCATACTTGGACTTGATAACAGCCGTCGTTTCTTCTAACCTTTTCCTGATCTCTTTGATTTTTTTAGAAAATTTAATGCTCGAAAGAAATTTGTATACCGTGTTTCTCGATGAGTTCGCCACTTCAGACTCCAATTCATCCACCATATCCTCAACATCATACAACAGATCTGAAAGCGTTGCAAGCTCGCTCCGCAGCTCAATGATCTGAGCCTGTTGTTCCTGGACATTGAAGAGGTCGGCTTTGATTTTGGACAGGGTGTTTTGGAGCTTTTTTGTCTCTTCTGGAAGGTCCCACGACAAGCTTGCTTTTTGGAAATTCAGAAAGACCATTCTCGTCAAAATATTAGTTGCAATGCTCAGCGGAAATGATTCTGCCATGTTTTTATGAAGAAGGAAAGAAAAGGTGCGGTGTTTTGGTCTATATTGAGTTAACTGACTTTTCATAAACATCTATATGTGATATAAAATATAATCTATACCAACTTCGGTTTAGGTCTTGAACCGTGCACTTCATACAAATATGCCCAGCAATTTTAACGAATCTACAGATTGCTATTCTTGTCACTATCTTACAATAAGGCTAGTTAGGTCGTCTCCAAGAAGATAAGATTAAAAAAATCTGAAATGAATATTATAACATACGATTGTTTTGAAGATAAGATTAAAAAAATCTGAAATGAATACTATAACATACGATTGTTTTGGACATACACCTCGCTTGATACCGATTTTGGTTAATTAAATGGGTAATTACAGAGTCTCCGAGAGGTTAATTAGCTTAAACAAATGCAAATGGTTTTAAATATGAGAATTATTGTACATATTTTTGATTAATTAAAGGCGTAATTTTGGTATCTGCAAGAGGTGAACTTAAATAAATACAAATGGTTTAAATTAAAAATTATTATATATGGTTTCAGAATGTGCACGCCAGCTGGTGATGTATGACTTTGAGGGGGTGTTTATTTAGGATTAATGTAAGATTACTAGAGTTATCATCTTATATTACTTGATTACCATACTTGATTCTTAAGTAATATAAGATTTCGATAATCTTTAAATATCAATAGTAGTTATCGTTGGTAATATTAGAGATAATCTAATTAGCTCTATTTTCTTAGGTATTCTAAGATTGTCAGGGTAATTTTTTTTTTTTTTTTATAATTCTATCCTTTATTAATAAAATTTTAGGACAATAATGCTATTATTTTTAAATTTATTTACATGAATATGACTTTTACTATTTCATCATAATTAATTAACTTTTTAGACAAAATTACCCTTTAATTCAAAACAAATTTCAGTCCACCCAAGCCACGACCCCCACCCACCTGCCGCCCCCTGAATAATTGCAGCCTCGAATATTCCCAATAATTTTAATCTAACTTTCTAGTAATCTAATATTTCCTAAACCAAATGCCCCCTGAATAATTAAACGGCTCCTAGAGGTTAACTTAAAATAATTATTTTACTTTGTCAAAAGTAGAGGTACTGTTGTGTGTTCATTACATGTAAAATAAATTTAGGTGACCCAAATGGGCCAGTTATGTTTGTACTATTGTATGTTTCTTTCTCCGAGAAGTGGTTATAAATATAAGTGTTTTCAAGTTTTCTCTCAAAGGAGTAGAGAGGAACTGTTGAAAATGAAAATTATGATATATGGTTTTTGAATACTTAATACATCTTGCCAATTAAGAGAGTGACGTTTTACCAATCTAGGGAGCACACACATATGTCCCAATATATTATAAGTGATGCGTAGTCATAAGTTGAATGACAATAAGTTGTGGATATACTTATCTTTTATGTATTATAAAATATTATTTATATATATAACGTTGCCAATTAAGAGAGCCCTGTTTTAATTGGCAAGATGCAAAACATCACTTTATATATATACAGAGAGAGAGAGAGTGATGTTGCCAATTAAGAGAGTGATGTTGCCAACTAAAACATGAATCTCTTAATTGGCAACGTCACCATATATATATATATATGGTGACGTTTTACCAGTCAATTTTACTTGAAAGAATCTTTACTGCACATTATTCATAAAATAACAAATATATACATATATACGGTGACGTTGTCAATTAAGAGATCATGTTTTAATTAGCAAGATGTATTAAGTATTCAAAAACCATATATCATAATTTTCATTTTCAACAGGTCCTCTCTACTCCTTGAGAGAAAACTTGGAAACACTTAGGGTGTGTTTGGTTCATTATTCTAATATTTTTTAGGTTAATATTTTGAAAAAAGTAAAATTAGATGGGTATTACGATGTAAAAATTGAAAATTAATAAAAATATCCCTTACGTTTTTTTATTTACTAAATACCCGTATAATAAAATATTAAAAATTGACAAAAACACCTACAACCCACCCATTAAATATGGACAGCCAACCACCATCGCCGGAGGGTGGTCGGAGTCGTCGTATCAGCACATGATCAGCTGGATATGGCCTGTCGTGCACTGATATGGGCTTTTTTGGCTAGATCTACTTTGGATTTGGTCGAAAAAGGTCAGATTTAAGGCTAGATCTGGCCATTGATGGTCAAATCTGGCCGCATTTGGTCGTCAACGACAGCCATCTCTCAGCCATCTCTTGGTCGTCATTGACGACAATGCAGATTCAACTAGTAGTATGTCATTATACCATATTCTGATAAGCTTCCGACGGTGGTGGTCGGAATCTGGCAAATGTGGGTTGTTGGAGTGTTTTTGTCAATTTCTAAAATTTTTGGGGGTGTTTAGTTAAATTAACAAATTTAGGAGGTTTAAAAAAATTGAATAATATAGAATAATATTTTGAGAATAAGAGAATAAATGTATATTTTAGGTAGAATAGGGAATAAAATACTGAAAAATTGTGTACCAAATGAAGCCTTATAGTTATAACCACTTATGAGGGAAAGAAACATACAATAGTACAAATATAATTGACCTATTTGGGGTCATCTAAATTTATTTTACATGTAATGGACACATAACAGTACCTCTACTTTTGACAAAGTAAAAGAATTATATTAAGTTAACCTCTAGGAACCGTTTAATTATTCAAATTCATACATCACCAGCTGGCGTACACCTTCCGAAACCATATATAATAATTTTTAATTTAAACCATCTGTATTTATTTAAATTCACCTCTTGCAAATAATGCAATTACCCTTTTAATTAATCAAAATTATGTAAAATAATCCTCATATTTAAAATTATTGATACAGAAATCTACACTAACCAAAGAATTTCGATCGACCTTGGTGGGATCAGAATAGATGTACGCGTGATTATGAATAACCAACGATAGACAAATATTGAATGTAATAAAGTAAATGACAATGGAAAATTTTAAAGTGGTTTGGTGAGATAAACTCTTGAGCCTACATCAACTGTGTTTTGTATTTGTTGTGAGAGCTAACAATGAAAATTCTATGTAAAAACCGTAGCCCCTTTTTCGTCATTTGAGGGGGTTTAAACACAAGGTTTGTACAAAGGAAACAGCGAAAATAAAGAGATTACAATTGATCTGAACTGAAATTCTGATATTCTTGCGATTGAGCGTTGTGATTGCGTAGAAATTGTTGTTGATCTAGTCAATCCCGTAATATATGGGATCTGAAGTTATCTAGGAATTGATTAAATGATCATCCGGTTTGTTCGCGATCAGCTTGTGCTGAGTTGAGCTATAAGTTAACGAGCTTATGCTGGGTCAAACAATCGGTGGAGTTGTACTGATCCTGGGTAGAGCTATATACTCGTGGTAGCCAAAGCTTGCTGGAAAAATTACATATAACATCAACCATTTGCATTTGTTTAAGCTAATTAACCTCTCGGAGGCTATGTGATTACCCCTTTAATTAATAAAAATCAGCATCAAGCACGATATATGTCCAAAACAATCGTATGTTATAATATTAAATTCAGATCTTTTTAATCTTATCTTCTTGGAGATGATGTAAATAATCTCATTAGTAATCAAATTCGTATATGAAAATTTAGGATTAAGGTTTATACAAGATTCAATGTTTAAAAAATTAAAACAAAAATATAAAATAAAGTATGAGTGTATCTAGAAATTATAATGTTATTTCTAGTAGTTTAGGTTAAGATTAAATTATAATAAGTGCAAAATTCTCATATTACGTATAATTTTTTAGTTGATCGCAGCATTCTTTGGTGAATGCCTAAATTAGAGAGTTTATGAATATATCATTACACCTAAAATAAATTTATGTGATTGGTCAAATTGAAAATGAAAATTATGATATATGGTTTTTGAATACTTAATACATCTTGCCAATTAAGAGAGTGACATTTTACCAACCTAGGGAGCACACACATATGTCCTAATATATTATAAATGATGTGTAGTCATGAGTTGAATGACAAGTTGTGGATATACTTATCTTTTATGTATTATAAAATATTATTTATATATGAATAATACTACACTTACAAAAAAAATTTACAAAAATCTTTATACAAAGTGATGTACCAAAAAATGAATGGAAAAGTGAATTTAATGAGTTTCACTTTTCTATTCATTTTTTCCCACCTTACTTTGTATAGAAATCTTTGTAAGATTTATTTGTAAGTATAATATTATTGTTTATATATATGGTGACGTTGCCAATTAAGAGAGTCACGTTTTAATTGGCAAGATGCAAACATCACTTTATATATATATATATATATATATATGGTGACGTTTTACCGGTCAATTTTCCTTGAAAGAATCTTTACTACGCATCATTCATAAAATAGAACAAACATATACATATATATATGGTGACGTTGTCAATTAAGGGATCATGTTTTAATTGATTGGGTTGAACAATCAGTGGAGTCGGACTGATCTTGGGCAGAACTATATCCTCGTGGTAGCCCGAGCGTGGTGAAAAAATCACATACAACATCAACCATTTGCATTTGTTTAAGCTAATTAACCTCTCGGAGGCTATGTAATTACCCCTTTAATTAATAAAAATCAGTATCAAACGAGGTATATGTCCAAAACAATCTAATGTTATAATATTCATCTCAGATTTTTTTAATCTTATCTTCTTGGAGATGATGTAACTAATCTTATTAGCAATCAAATTCGTATATGAAAATTTAGGATTAGGGTTTATACAAGATTCAATGTTTAAAAAATTAAAACAAAATATAAAATAAAGTATGAGTGTATTTAGAAATTATAATGTTATTTCTAGTAGTTTAGGCTATGGTTAAATTATAATGAGTGCAAAATTCTCGTATTACATATAATTTGTTAGTTGATCACAACATTCTTTGGTGAATGCCTAAATTAGAGAGTCTATGAATATATCATTACACCTAAAATAAATTTAGGTGATTGGTCAAATTGTCCTTGTAGCTTTTATGTAAATTTTCTCAATTGTCATCCTCAAATTATCTAGTTGGCACTATCTAAGCAAGTCCATCCAAGTTTCCAGGTGGAATTGGTTTGTAAATTTTATTCACCAATTCCAACAATTTTAATCATTTTGACATTAACCTTTAGAGCATTATTTGTAAGTTGATGGAGACCAAACGCTTTGTGGTCCTAAATTACCGTCTCAACAATCAGTCAAGATTACATTCTAATTTTTCACAAATTTACACTTAAAAGTCTTTTAACAAGTACAACAATATTGCATTCTAATTTTTTACTTTGACGCTTTACAACAAGAGTTCGCAACATTTCTCTCTTTTATGAGCTTCTTCCACTAGAAATTTAAGTTCGAATTTTAAGAGAGAGTATGACGTTAAAAGGAGTGAGAATAATTCGTTTATAAGAAAAACTCATCACTCCAGAGAGGACAATCTAAATGCACATGTAACAAGATTCTTGCTGGTAATTTTTATTTTTATTTTTATGAAATATATAAATATGTATCTCATGCGGAAAAATGGGCGTCGGAGAAATTTCGATATGGGAAAAGAAACATAAAAATCCACGATTGCAATATAATAAACCACTAAATACTCAGTCCTCCCTACATAATTCACACATTGCGTTGCATTCTCAAGAGGAGTACTCAAGGATATATGGCCTCTTCTTCATCACAGCCTAATTCCCCTTCTTCGTCGCAGACGACTATCGCCCCTTCTTCATCTATGCCTAGTTCCCCTTCTTCGTCTCAGCCTGTTACTCCTTCATCTCAGCCTGTACCTGCTGCCCCTTCTTCATCGCAGCCCAGCGCACCTTCATAACCCCAGCAGCACGCCGCTTCTTCAACACAGGCCAGAGCCCCGACTCAAACTACTGCATCTTCTTTATTGCAGCCTAGCACTCCTACTTCAACTCAGCCTCGGCCAGTTGTCAATTCTCCATCGCAACCTAGCGCCCCCTCTTCATCTCAGCCTCTGCCTGTTCCCTCTTCTTCAGTTCAGCTTAGTGTCCCTTCTTCACCGCGGCCTGTCGCTCCTTCACTGCAGCGCATCGCCCTATCCCCACAGAATAAGGGTAAGTAGTATGTAGAAAATTAAAATAAAATTCAGCAAGTAAATAACTAGTCCAACAAACAAAAAAATAAACAAGATTTGGCAATTTTGCCTTCTGTTTTTCTTTCAGAGGATTGCCAGAATTACCTGCCATTATATAAAGCTATACTGGAAGGCAACTTGGAAATTGTACGACAACGCTGTGATGAGGATGATCATGCGTTGGAAGCCAGGATCACGATGAAACTCGACACAGCTCTTCATGTAGCTGTTGGAACAGGCAGGGGGAATCATATTGTCAAATATCTTGTGAATAAAATGTCAGCAGATCAAGTGACAGTGAAAAATAACGACGGCAACACAGTCCTTTCCGTTGCTGCAATTGTTGGCAACCAAGAAGCAGCAGAAATGATATTGAAGAAAGATGAAAAAAATCTAAGTTTAGTTGACGAGTTAAATTTTTCTGGACGGATGCCTTTGATTGAGGCAGCTCGACATGGCCAAAAGAAGATGATTACATATTTATTGCAATTCAGTGGTAAATATTTGGCCTTTGTTACCGGAACAAAGATTCAATATAGTTCTGGTGTTTCTTTCATAAATTCGCTTATAACTGCTGGATTTTATGGTGAGTTATCTCTTTCTCTTACCACTAGTACTAGTACTACTAAACGAGCAGATATTAATGAGATAATTAAATCTGACTTTCATGTACTATATAGTCCTTCACTAACATGGTACATGGATGGTCACTTTTTTTCTTAAAATTCAGGTCACGTTTATTCGGGAATGTCCACATTTATCAGTCCTGGTTTAAATTTTTTTTTTTTTATGGCGAGTAATCGTTAAAAAACAAAATTTGAGTTAAAAAATAATTGTACATAAAAAAACTAGTGGTAATGAACAGAATTCGGATTTAAAAGCATTTCAACATTAACATTTAGAGCCACTAAGTATATATCAAAACATGTACTTTTTTATGCATCCAACGCATGGCCAATTAAAAATTTTGGTAGTGCAGTTTTCATTATTTTACTTCAATAACTTATAGTTTCAACCAATTTTTTCATTTTGAAATTTTAAATTAACCATAAATTCATGTGCATCCTTATGTCTCAGACTTGACACTAGAACTGCTTGAGAAATATGAAGGTCGTTTAGCTACAAAGAAGTTGTCTTCTGGTGAGTCTCTTTTGAGAGCAATAGCAGGAAAGCAATCTGCATTTGCTAGTGGAAGACGAAAAAGGCTTGCCAGTGGAAGACGAAAAAAGCTAAAGTTTTGGCAATACCTTAACCTTTTTAAGCGTGAGTATAAGCTTCTCAGATAATTACTAATCTTCAATCATCCATCTCATGAAGATCCTTGTTATTGTTATTATTATTTCTCTATTTCTGCATTTTACTTAATAAAAAATTGCTCTTCCCGCATCATGTATTAATAAGCTCTATTCTTTGAGTTGTATTATACGAAAGAAGACATTTAAGATGTTTTCACATAAACTCAATTTTAGAGTTTAATTGTAAACTATTAATAAGCCCTATTCTTCAAGTACTATATTATTAATATAATATAGTACATGTAAATAGATATAAGAATGGTACATTTGTAGTTATGTACAAGAGGGATACTAGGTTTGCTACATATAATGGTACATACGAATTTATCTATAACTATACAACATCGATCTTGGGTTTAAAATGTTAGTTTGACTAAAGGTTGCAAAAAACCTTGAGGCAACCATCGTTCTTTTGGCTTAACCAAATCCCACTTTAAATTCTTAGTTTTAGAAATAGTCACAAGCAGTTTATTATGTAACGCATTTAATTGACGTTCGTTTCAATAATCAGTTAATTATTTTGCCATACGTCAGACCAAATACTTCATAATTCTTTTTAGGTAAGAAACTCTAGGATGTTTTCTTTTACTTTTCAATATTTTTACTTAGTTACGTAGCCAGTTTAATTTGCAGTTCGGAGTCATTTAAGGGAAGTAAGAGAGAAAAAGTTGAAGCATGACAAAGCACTTAAACTTGTCAAACACTTGTGTGAGGAAATTACAAAGAATCTAGACCATGAACAAGCTTCCTCAATTTTGGAACCACCGCTCCTTTTAGCAGCAGAATTGGGGATTTGTGAAGTTGTGGAAGAGATTATAAAGTCATTTCCTGATGCAATCTGGTTTACAAATGATGAGAAACAAAATGTATTCCAGTTGGCAGTCATGAATCGTCAAGAGGAAGTATTTAACCTCATATTTCGAATAAGTGATCACAAAAATTTGTTGTTGATGTCTCATGATGATAAAGAAAACAACATCTTGCACCTAGCTGGAAGATTGGCACCAGGAACAAGGTTTAAATCAACTAAACCTTGTTCCTGGTGCAGCTTTGCAGATGCAACGTGAGTTACATTGGTTTAAGGTAAGACTGATTTAAAATTAATGCTATATATTTTAAATTTCTTTCCAATACAATTCTTGTTTCCGCTAGGTTTAAATAATAATAATTAAAAAATGCATGAATTATTACCCTCCGAGGTACTAATTTTTGTACACTTTAGCAATGATTGGCTGATGATTGATGTCAACTAATTAGTACAATAAAAAATGTATCTTACACTTAGGTTTAATAAGCCACCTCATATGAAACTTGAATGTTAGCTGATGGTTGACGTCAACAAATTAGCATTATAAAAATATATACCTTCCACTTAGGTTCAGTAGATCCCTTCACATAAAACTTGCATTTTTATTCTTTCGAAAGTAAGTTGAAGTTGCAAACCTGGCATATGTATGTATGTATGTATTTGGTGACACACACACATATATATAT